CCTGTCATTGATGAGCATTGCCCAGGTCCAGCCATTCATCTGGGATTACAAGATGGCGACACTCTAATTTTGTCATTCCTTCTGTTTATTAGCTGGAATACTCCCACGAAGAGTAACTTCCCCTCATCAATTATTTGGTGACCCTGAGGCACAGTTGACACAGGAAAGGGGAAACACACTCTTGGGTTGCGTCTACCTTTTGGCTATTGTGAATGATGCTGCTATGACTTGGGTGTACAAATTTCTCTTCAAGACTATACTTTTGGTTCTTTTGGAGATAAACCCAGAAGTGGAATTGCTAGGTCAAATGGTAATTCAGTGTTTAATATTTTGAGGAATTGCCATACCATCTTCCACACTGGCTACACCATTGTACATTCCTACCAGCAATGCAAATGCAAAAGGGTCCAGTTTCTACCCCGCCTCCCCATGTCAACACTTGTTATTTTCTGGTGTTTGTTCATTTGTTCGTTTGTTTACAATAACCATTCTAATGGGTGTGATGTGGCGTCTCATTGATTGGCATTTCCCCAATGACTAATGATGTTGAGCATCTTTTCATGTCTTATTGGCCATCTGCTTTGGAGAAATGTCTATTCAAGCCCTTTGCCTATTTTTTTAATTGGGTTGTTTGATTTTGTTGTCAAGTTTTAGAATCCTTTATACATTATGGATATTAACTTCTTATCAGATATATGATTTTCAAGTATTTTCTTCTATGGGTCGCCTTTTCATGCATATGATTGTGTCCTTTCATGGATATAAGTTTTTAATTTTTATGTAGTTCATTTTATCTATTTTTCTTTTATTGTGCTTTTGATGTCACATCCAAAAAATAATTGCCAATCAATGTCATGAACTTTTCTTCTGTTTTGTTCAAAGAGTTTTATAGTTTCTACCTCTTGTATTTAGGTGTTTACTCTATTTTGGGTTAATGTTTGTGTATGGTGTGAGGTAAGGGTCCAACCTCATCATTTTGTGTGTGGATATCCAGTTATTCCAACACCATTTTTTGTAAAAACTGTTCGTTCCCCATCGAATAGTCTTGGCACAATTGTCAAAAATCATGTGACCGTACACACGAGGGTTCATTTTTGGGCTATTTGTTGTGTTCCACTGCCTTTATGCAGTACCACACTGTTTTGATTACTGCAGCTTCGTAGTAAGTTATTAAATCAGGAAGTATGAGACTCCCAACTTAGTTCTTTTTAAAGATTGTTTTGGCTATTTGAGATCCCTTGAGATTCCATATGAATTTACGGATATATTTATTTCTGCAAAAAAAATGTCATTGGGATTTTGATAGGGGTTGCACTGAATCTGTAGAGCACTTTGGGTAGTGGATGTCTTACCAATATTAAAATTTCCAATCCATGAACATGGATTTATGTGTCTTAAGTTCTTTTAGAAATGTTTTGTAGTT